GAGGAGATTGCGAGGGCTGGTATTTCGGTCGTCCAAATGAGAGGCGACCAGCTAGTTCGAGGAGTTTACAGCCCCCTCCCTGCCCAATTCCTACAGGCTGCCAGCGACGCCGAACATGGTGCGTTGGCGGTGGCCTGCCTCAGGAGGAAAAACCCCACCCCTGAGCAGGTCCCGAAGCCCATTTCTGTCGACTGTGCGTCCCTGTTTCTCGGGACCCGTGACCCTCCTAGGGCCCTGTCGGGGGCGTCCAGGCTCTCTTTCTTTTGGCGTGAAATCTCCAGGAGGCTTCTCGAAGGCCCTTGGGTGGATTTAAAGAAGATTAAGGCGCGCAGATCCATTGACCAGGCCGTTGATGAATGCGACAGGTGCACCATCATCGGATCAGATTATGCAGACAAGTTTGCCAAAGTTGCAGCCCAGTGTCAGAACCTTAACCCCCAGGAGTTGTCTGACTTTGAAAGAGGAGAGCGTGAGTACCTCAGTCTTGTAGAAGGTATTACTGCTGTGCTTGTTTGTTTTCCGCCCACCGAATCTATCCATGGGAAGCTCACTAGGCCTACGAAGGCCAAGGTCCCAAAGCCTGAGGGCCCTGAGCACCAGCCTGTTCCCCATGGGAACGTTCTGCGTTGCAAGAACTGTTTGAGGGTTGTCACGGGCTCGTGCAAGACTAAGTGCGAAGGTCCTAACCCGTCTTTGGCTTCTCTCCTGAGGGGGGAAGGGGGTTTAGGACACTCCTTGCACTGGGCTCGCCTCGAGCCGACCCCTGCCACTTCTGATATTCCTGTTATTTTCTGTTCCTCTTGTGGAGGCTTCGCCAGCACCAGGGCTGGGTCACGCCTCCTTGAGAGATGTCAGCCCCCGCAGAAGAGTGCCGAACGGTCGAAACTCCTCAGGGGGCTGCTCCCAGGGACCCCTCACAAGCTGGGCCAATCTTTCCCCCTCTCGTCCTTCCCTCCTCTGTCCTCCCTCGCCCCTCAGGTTGGTCCCAGGCTTGAGGTCCCTGCTGCTCTTCCGCCGCCCCCGCCGCCCGCCAACGTGCGGGACGAGGAGGGCGAGGCGCCGCTCCTCCCCCCCATCGGCGGTCGTTCACAGTCTGACGACTCGGACTGACTGTAGTCTAGCATCGGCTTATCATGGATTGACCAGGTGCTCGATGGCTTGAGAGGCTTGAGAGCAAGAGGAGGAGAGGGAGGAGGAGGAGGAGGAGGAGGAGGAGGAGGACGGCGACGACGAGGAGGAGTGGACAGGATCAGATGTTCGTTTTGGGAGGAGGGCCGGGGGAGGGGAGGGGGGAGGACGGCCGCCAGTCAAGCAGTGGCGAAGCGTCCCGGCGTGCCTATAGTCATACCAAACAATGTTCGAAGAACCTGTTGTGGTTTCCACGATCTGTTCTTAGAGCATTTCTTGCTGGGACTGTCTTGTTTGAACGCATGAGGCTTATGTTCTAAGAGCACCGTTTTTGTTATTTGAACATTTTTGGGTTCTAAGAACATTTCGTGGTAGGACTATAGGAATGCCAGGACGGTCGGTCCACGCTCAAACCAGCATGAGGCGAAAGGGTGGCACAGACAGATCCAGTGGCAGTTTTGCCTCGATGACTGCATCTCTCCGCCCGCAGCTGCGGGTGCACTCGACGGGTCACCTGTCACGCCTCATTCAGGAGGGGAAAAAAACACAGACACAATTATTCGTCGACCCCCAGAAAATATGGGGAAAATACGGGGAGTGGGGGGGAAGACAGAAACCCAGAAAATATAGGAAATTATTTGTGTATTTATTTGTGTGTCCTGGGGCCCCTTCACTCATGGCAGGCTGTGCCCACTGGTCATCCTCGGGCGCAGGCCCTGCCCTCGAGGAGGGGTGGGATGCATTCTCCCTCGGCCCATGCTTGTTCCCCCTCGTTGCTCTCTACACATCCAGTCATGCCATTGTCCTGCTCCGTCTTGCGCTTCGCTCCCGCCCGCGTCGCCACACCGCCCGCCTTGATCCCCACACCTCTGCCCCTCCATCTTCCTTCGCACCTTCCCCTCGTCGGGTTTCTGATGCTCGTTGTCGGTCGGTGTCGTAAGCGGAGGCGGTCACTCCTCACCACTCCGTGCTCGGGCTTCTGGGCCACGCGCCGGCGGCGGTTGCAGCGTCGGCGCCCGAAGCGGCCAATCCAGGCACGATAGCCAGACGAGTTGCATGGATGAAGGGAGCATATAAGCACAAAGCAGCGGGAAGATGTTCTGGGTGTTTTAACGCAGATTCCCATGCCGCACTGGCTTCATCCTGGTCTTCTGGGGGTCCTCTGAGAGTTATCTTGGGACCCTCTCGTGGCGGGGAGGCGGCAACAGTGGGAGGCAGGAGGAGCAGAAAACTGGAGGAGGAGGAGGAGAGGAAGAAGAGGAACAGAGAACTGGAGTAGGAGGAAGGAGACGACGATGGAAACGGCGACCACAGCGACTAGTCAAGCGTAATGCCCTCGCGGTTTCCGACCCGCGAGCCCCTTGGAAGAGACATCTCGGAGCGATTTCGGAGCCAGTTTGGAAAGCTTGTTGGCCCTATTTGGACCTTCTTGGAGAGACGGCCCCATGGCTCACAAAGCGGGGCGGAGGGATAAATTCAGTCCCCCCTTCCCCAGAGGCTGAACAGTGGCGTCTTGGGGCCATATTTGGGCGCTCCTGGGCACCTCTTGGGTGCCCTTGGGGCCGTCATGGGGCCGTCTTGAGCCCCTCTTTGGGGCTCTCTTGAGTTATATTGGGGCCATCTTGAGGCCTCAACAGTTAATCGGAAGCGACAAGGCGAGCAGGCACAACCCATTGATTTTCCATAGGATTTTCAAGGATATTGGCATCTTGGGAGGGTCCGGGGGGGTCTTTGAGAGTACATGGTATCGTATTGAAGCGGTCTTGGAGCCTCTTGAAGGTATATCGGAGGCTATCCTGCGCCATCTTGGGGTATCTTGGGCCATCTTGGAGGCCATCTTGCGCTCGCTGATGCCCTCTTGGAGCCATCTTGGGTTCTTCTGGACGCTCTGACCAATTGCGCCCCCCCGTCCAGGCCCTGGGGAGCGGGTAGGGAATCTTCGAGCAGGAGAAGGACGGGCGTTGGAAGAGGGAAGAAGACAACTCGTTAAACCACCTACTCCCAGAGAGCTGGTGGGGTTCAGCATCGGCGCCGTCATGTCCGTGGTCGAAACCGGCATAATCCCGCAATCCGGCTTCTTCCCGCTGGGTCCCGCTTGATGCGGCCGAATGTTGGGCTCAATCCGGGCCGATCCAGCCCCGTGGCCTTTGAATCCGGTCCCCAGGCTTGTGCCTGAGAGTCGCGCCCGCAGGTCGGGCCCGGATTGCCCATGAAGCGCTACGAGCCAGCAGATGCGTGTCGGTGGGTCGCGCGGGCGGCGCCGGTGCTCTGAACGCGGGTGCGCTGGTGTGGTCCTCGATGGGAGCCTCCGAGGGTTCCAAAAATTCTTGCGGTTTTGGGGGTGGGGGTCGTCCAGATTCCCCTTGGTTTGGTCGGCATCTTGACGACAGTTGCACGACATCCTGGCGACATCGGGCCGAATCCCCCTTGATGGCAGGGCCGCAGAGGTCCACGGGCGCCCGCGAAGGCTCACCCAGGTGCTTTTCGTCTCGCGTCCCTGCGAGGCCCCTTCCCCAAGGGCGCGAAGTTGGGAGCCCTGGTTCCCTGGCTCTCCCGTCGCCGCTGCGCCGAGGCTCCCTTCGGAAGGCGGGTGGGCTGTGTATTTCGCGGCGTTCTGGGGAGGGCCGGCCGGGTTAGACGGCGGCCTTCCTGGCGCTGTTGGGTCTTCTCGGGGCCTCCTGGGGGCTTCAGGCCGCCACGGCTGGATCCGCCTCGAGAAACGGGTCGGGATGGGCCCCAAGAGAGGTCCGAGGAACACAGCTTTGAGCGGTTTGGGGCCGGGCACAAGAGACGCCCGCCGTTATCATTTGGCCCTGTCCGATTCAGCTGTGATGTTCGCTCCCGCATGCGCGTGACTTCTCCTCGACTGGGAGCAGAAATCCTGCAGGACAGGATCGTGTCCAGGAGACCAGAGTCTCAGCTTTTTCATCGAGATTCAGAATCCCTGTTTTGGTTTGTTTTTGACTTGTCTTTCTCTTCTTCCTCTTATTCTTCTTCTTCTTCTTCTTCTTCTTCTTTATCTTCTTGGTTCGCCGGGCGTGCGGCCACAACCTTCCCGCGGCTTGTCTGGCTGCAGCGTGCTGGGCGCAAGGCCACTGCACATCCCAGCAAGCATTTGTTGACCTCCTTGGGGTATTTTGGGGGTATTCTTTATCTTTCGTCGAAAATCCCCTGGTATAGGGGGACACGCCCGACATCAAGCAAGGCGGCGTCGCGAGCGCGGCGTCGCGCCCGGCACGCACGGACGACCGGTCGTGCGCTGGCCGCGCCGTGCTCGCCGTGCCCCTGCCGCCAGAGAGCGGGCTCCGCGCGGCGGCGCGCGCGTCGTGGCGCGACGGCGCGACCGCCTCGGAGCCCTGCCTGCCTTAAGTCGGGCCTGTCCCTCTACAGGAGGAAGATTCAAAACTAGTCAAAGAAATAGTCTGGGGGCCATTTTTTGAGTCTTGTTGGGCATCTTTTGAATCTGTTTTGCGTATGTTTTATGTTTCGTCCAAAATCCCCCTGCAGGGTGACACGCCCGACTTAATGCCTGCCCTGTCACGCGCGCGAGGCCACGCCGCGCAGAGCCACACGGCGGCAGTCGAGCGCAGGCGCCTCCAGCTCGCCCGAGTGGCTTCACACCTGCGGCATGCCGAGGGACCCCGACCATCGCCGTCCATCAGCAGCAGCAGCAGCAGCAGCATCGGCATCATCAGCATCCGTCGTTGCCTAGCATCGTCGTCACTGGTTCACGTTGGCGGCGCCTGGGCTTCTGCTGCGCGCATGGCCCTCGAGGGATCATCACCATCGTTTTCGTCGCCCTCGGCCTTGTGGTCCTCGCCGTCGAGCTCGTCTCCTCCTCCCCCTCGTCGTGCGACTCCCGCCGACGCCAGGCCGCGACGCCGCTCCTGGGACGGCACCGCGCGCACCTGGTGGCCTCCATCGCGGCCCTGGCCCTCCGGCTGGGGCCCCCCGGGGATGGCGGCCGTCTGCCGGCACCGGTCCCGGCCAGGCCAGCCCCATGTGGGGCCAGGATCGGCGCACACGTCACCACGCACAGCAGCGTACTTCTGGAGGCAAGGTGTCCTGTTTTTGGATCCGGCGTACAGTGGAGGCCCATGCCAACACACACCCTGCCTGCCTCTAGGGTGCCCCGGGCTTGTTGGGTTTCGATGTCTTTGCGATGGAAAGCGCGACCTTTCCACACCAAAAATCAAAGGACGTCCTGGGTTCTCAGTGTTGTATCTTTTGTGGAAGATCTCTTGTGGAGTGGCCTCCACTGTAGCCCAGAGTTCTTTCTCGCGAGCCACATTCAGAGTTGCTTGGACTGACGCGACTGCCTTGACTGGACTGGTCCCCCCGTGAGGCGGCAGTTTTTGTGTCTGGCCGCGGAACGCAAAACGTAAGGAGCAACCCAGAGAGGGGAGTCTCTAGTGTGCAACCAATGGAGTAACCCACGGATAGCGCAACCCGTGGCGCAACCCAGGGATCGCCCAACCTACGGCGCAACACAGTCCCACGGATGGTGAACACACATGGATCGCGGAACTCGTGGCGTAACCCATGGGTGGCGCAACCTTTCGCTGCTCATGGATCGCGCAACCCATGGCGCACCGCGTGGGTGGCACACGCACACATGACAGCTTCTACGTGGATACGCCCGAGTGATGCTCGCATTTGGGGCTGGCGATGGGGCCAAAGCGGCAAGCGGTCGTGTGATTGTTCGTTCTGAGCGTCTTCCGTCTCCCCGTTTGTGGACTCCCGCGGGCTCTCCCTCTGGGCCTTCAGGAGACGACTCGGGCGAGAGCCTTCCGTCTTGGAGGGTGAGTTCCAGTTCCGGGTCGGACGAGAGTGGGGGATTGGGATGAGGGGCGGGTACAATATCCTGCTGCGTTCAACCAGCTTCGGCCCCGCCGCCCCGGCGCCACTGGTTCTCCTAGCCTCCCCCCCCTCCCGCCGTCGGGCGGGGAGGCTGTAGGAGAGCCGGCTTCGCGCAGCTGGCTCGCTAGCCCCCCTCTCTAGCTCTTCGTTCGTCCGCCCCGACTGTCGTCCAGGATCCCGACTCTTCCGGGATCTCCTTCCTCCCCCGCGCCAACGTGCCCTCGCGCGGCCAGGCCCTGGGTCACCCCAGGGGGTGCGAAAGCAACCGAGGCTTCGCGCGTTGTGGCCGGGGCTGCTGAGCCCGTCGTCTCCTGGCGGCGCGAGGGCGCGGAAATCACCACGCACTGCGGGGCGCGGGCGCGAGGCCAGAGGACCCCGGAGGGCGGCCTTCAGAGGCCGAGCAAGGGAGGAGGAGGAGGGGGAGGGGGAGGAGGAGGAGGAGGAGGAGGAGGAGGAGGAGGAGGAGGAGGCGGAGGAGGGGAGGAGGAGGAGGAGGAGCAGGAGGGGGGGGGGGCAGGGGGGGAGGAGGAGGAGGAGGAGGAGGAGGGGAGGAGGAGGAGGAGGAGTAGGAGGAGGAGGAGGAGCGAGGAGGAGGAGGAGGAGGGAGGAGGAGGAGGAGGCGGAGGAGGAGGAGGCGGAGGATAGGGGGAGAAGGAGGAGGAGGCGGAGGAAGAGGAGGAGGAGGAGGAGGAGGAGGAGGAGGAGGAAGAGGAGGAACGACACCAGTGCTCCTCCGAGCCGCCGCAGGCCTGACCGGGCGCCGCAGGGCGGCGTGCGCCGATCCCGGGCCCCACCTCGGGGGGGCGGGGCCTGGCCAGGGCCGGCGCCCGGGCGCGGCCGGCGTGCCCCGGGCAGGCCCGAGAGCTTCCAGCCCTCCGGGCAGGCCACGCTCGCGGCGATGTGCGGCCTGGTGCCGGGGCTCGAGCATCGACCCAGAGATCCAACGCATTGAAAAAATCAAAACGGAGGTTTCTCTCAATTTTGGGCCTCTAGGGGCTCTCGCCGGGCCCCGGGACCGTCAAAAAACGACTCAGGATGACAAAACGGTCCTGGGGAACGGGTCGAGACTTCGGGCGACCGCGTATTGAAAAAATCACGACGTCGGATCTCTGGGGACTAGACGTAAGAGTGACCTTTCGCAGGAGTGACCTTTGGTGCGGGCCCAATGGGCTCCCCCGGTCGCCAGACGCGGTGCGGGCCCCATGGGCTCCCCCGGTCGCCAAACGCGGTGCGGGCCCAATGGGCTCCCTAGGTCGCCAAACGCGGTGCGGGCCCAATGGGCTCCCGCGGCCCCCAAAAAGCCGCGCACCAGAGGTCACTCTTACCCAGGGTGGCTCTTGCGTGTAGTCGAAAGCAGCGGCGGAGCGTCCCGGCTCGCCTGTAGGCCTACCAAACAGTACTCTACGAACCTTTCTGTGGTTTCCACGCAATGGTCTCAGGGCAGTTTTGGCTGGGACTGCCTTGTTTTGACACATCTGGTGTATGTTCTAAGAACATCTTTGTTGTTCTCAGAACATTTCTGGGTTCTAAGAACGTTTCGTGGTAGGCGTACAGAAATGCTGGGACGGTCGGTCCCTGCTCAGCTCGCCGGCAGCGGCGGACGGCGGAGGGGGGCTGTGGGGAACGCCACAGGGGAAGTTCGGCGGCGAGCGAGGGAGGGGAGTTCGGGCGAAGAGAACTATGCACATGCACCGATCCTGGCAAGGCCCATCCTTGACCCAGGATCGGTGCATATGCCTTCCTGATCTACGCACCGATCCTGGGCTCAGGATGGGCCTGGCCAGAATCGGTGTATGTGCATAGTTCTTTTTCCGCTAGGGAGTGAGGAGGAGGAGGAGGCCTCCGCAAGAGGCGGCGGGACTGCTTGGAAGCCCTCGCGCCTTCGGAGGAGCCCGTGGTGTCTTCGGGGAAGGTTCAGGTTCAGACAGTTTCTCTGAAGACCGAGGGGCTGCCGAGCCCTCTGAGAAGGCCCGCCCCTTCTCCTTTCCCCAGGCGCGTCGCCCAGAAGCGGGTCCTGAGGGAAGCTAGGGGAACAACAGGTGACACAAACATACAAACTCTGAGGTCCGCCCGGATTTCTCGGATCGGCGCTGGGGACCCCCGGCGGCGCCTCCGGCGCCGCCCCTGGCGCGCTCCGCGCGCCAGGGAGGGGGGTCCAGCACCGATCCGAGAAATCCGCGCGGACCTCCGAGCTTTATGTTTATGTCACTGTTTGTGCCCCTAGCGGGTCCTGAGTTTCTTCTCCGCGTTCGGTTTCCCAGGGCTCTCCCCGCGGGCCCCGGGACTGTCAGGGAGCGGCTCGGGATGGAGGAATCGTCCCCGGGAGAGGCCCAAGGGCCCAGGACCCGGTTCCTGCAGGACCCGTGTTCTGAGGGGAGGGGGGAGACCGAGCGAGGGGGGAGGCCGGTGAGGTGGGCGGGCCGGATGATGATTGCATGCCTCTGGCCGTGTGGGCCAGCGAGCTTTCAAAGGGGGGCTCTCGTCCGCATGGCTTTTCCCCCAAACCATGTGCAGGTCTTGTAGGGGATCGTTTCTTGCAACGAGTAAGGGTTGTAGGGACTCATGGGCAGGGCACTTCACTTCATTAGGGCGACGCGAGGGTGGGTTTTATTCTAGATGCTTCGCGCAACCCCACCAGCCCATCCAGAAGCGATGCCCAGGCGAGTTGCCCTGATCAGGGATGTGGAGGAGAACGAACTGGAATAATGGGCTGGGCCTTTCGGGCCGTCATGGGCCATCTTGGAGGCCTCTTGGGCGATCGTGGGGGCCTCTTGCGTGCGCCATCTTGAGCCGTCGGAATGCCGAGGAGAAGCAAATGCCAACATCTCTCAAAAACCTAAGAGCAATCAAGGATTTTGGCCTCTTCGTGGCCTCCTAGAAGACCTCCTGGACGCCTTTTTGGGGGTCTCTTGGGCCGTCTTGCGCCATCTTGAAGCCATCTTAGGCCGTCTTGGTTGCATCTTGGGCCGTCAAGCATCTTGGGGCCATCTTCGCCGTCTTGGAGGCCATATAGGCCGTCTTGGAGGCCTCTTGGGCCCTCTCGGGGTTGCCTTTGGTGTCTCTTGGGCCGTCATGGGGCCATCTTGGAAGCCTCGTGGGTGATCTTGGGGGCCTCTTGGGCCGTCTTGAGCCGTCGGAATGCCACAAACTAGCAACTGCCAACATCTTTCAAACACCTAAGGAACATCTTGTGAGCTTCTTGGCCCGTCTGAGGCCATCTGGAGGCCATCTCAGGCCGTCTTGGGTGCATCTTGGGCCGTCTTGGAGTCATACTGGGGCCATCTTAGCCGTCTTGGAGGCTTGGGTGCATCTTGGGCCGTCTTGGAGGCATCTTGGGGCCATCTTAGCCGTCTTGGAGGCCATCTTGGGCGTCTTGGAGGCCTCTGGGGCCATCTTAGGGCCGTCTTGGGGCCATCTTCAAGGCCATCGATCAAAGGAGGAGCGGGGATAACGTTCAGCCCCCGCCAAAGAGGCCAAAATGGGGCCAACACCTTTTGTACAGCCAATGATTTGGGCGCACAGAGGGCTGGTGGGATACATTCAGCCCCAACCCAAAGAGGCTAACATGGGCCAAAACCTTAGTAAAACCAATGATGTTGGTGCCCAGAGGGCTGGTCGGACATTTTTGCCGGTCCCCCCCCCCAAAGAGGCCAACATGAGGCCAACACCTGGGTAAAACCAATGATTTGGGCTTCCTCGCCGAGGTTTTGGACGCCCTGACACCTCACGGGCCCCCCCCAAAAGAGTAGAGGGGAGGGGTAAGGGGAGGGGTAAACGTCTCCCCGTAGGGGAAGACGTTTTTTGCTTGGACGAGGGAAGAGGAATCTCGTTAGACCACCTGTCGCCCAAAAGGCTGGTGGGATTATCGCACTTAACCCCCCCGCCCACTGCCTCTTGGGGCCTCTTGGGGGCCTCTTGGAGCCTCCTTGGCCCCCTTGGGAGCCTCGGAGATCATCTTTGGTCGATCTTGGAGGAGACGAGGTCACGCTGGATTTACTCAAAGCGACAGAGGCGAAACGCTCATACACGCCAGCTGCGTCGCAGGCGACTGCCAGCGGCAATGATTGCTCGCATGAGAAATTCTCCACGCTTCCCCACTTGCCGCTGCCGCCGCCGCTGCCGGCCCCCCGCCGGCGGCGGCGGCGGCGGCGGCGGCGGCCGGCGGCGCCGCGGACAGCCCCTCCGCCAGCCCCGCGGCCAGCCCCGCGGCCGCCCCACGGCCAGCCCCACGGCCAACAGCAGCCGCAGCAGCAGTGCAGCAGCAGCAGCAGCAGCAGCAGCAGCAGCAGCAGTAGCAACAGCCGCAGCAACAGCAGCTGCTGCAGAACCCAGCCGGGCAGCAGCAGCAGCTGCAGCAATAGCCGCAGCAGCAGCAGCAGCAACATAACCCAGCAGCTGCAGCAGCAGCAGGGCAGCAGCCGCAGCAGCCACCGCAGCAGCAGCTGCGGCAGCAGCAGCAACAGAGCCCCACAGCAGCAGCTGCAGCAGCTGCACCCCCCGCAGCAGCAGCAAGAGCCACCCAGCGACCCCAAGAAGGACCCACGGGAAGACGCTGAGGCACACGTGCTCCCTCAGCAGCTGCAGCGGGGCAGAGAAAATGAGAGGGAGGTCGCGGCGGAGTCGGCGGAGGCTGCGGCGGCCGCGGATTATCGGGGGCCCGATGCAACGGAAGCCTCGGAAGGTGCGGAAGTGGCGCAAGACACCGCTTGCGTCTCTGGATCAGAGCACTGCAGCAGCAGCTGCGGCAGCAGCACCAACAGAACCCCGCAGCAGCAGCAGCAGCAGCAGCAGCAGCAGCAGCAGCGCCCCCCGCTGCCGCAACAAGAGCCACCCAGCGACCCCAAGAAGGACCCACGGGAAGACGCAGAGGCACCCGTGCTCCCTCAGCAGCACCGGCTGGGCAGCGAAAAGGAGAGGGAGGTCACGGCGGAGTCGGCGGGGGCTGCGGGGGCCGCGGCGTTTCGGGGGCCCGCGGCGGCGGAGGCCTCGGAAGGTGCAGAAGCGGCCCGGTCTTCACTCGCGGCTCGGGATTTGAACCGGGTGGACGGGGGGTGGCCCCCGATGGCGCTGACGGTAGCCGCGACAGTCAGCCGAGCGAGATTCCGGGACTGCAGGGGCTCGCCAACCACGCCGCGCCGTGCCACCCCCGCCTCCCTTTCTGAACAATCCGACCGTCAGCAGTCCTCTGGGGGCGCCTCAGACCCAGCAGCGGACGCGCTCTGCTGGCTCGCGCTTGGCATCGGCGTCGCACTCGCGGGGGTCCTGCGCGCGGCGGCGGATCTCTGGCAGCAGGCTCGGTGCGGCCCGACTAAACGCGGCCTGCGGGAGGGATGCCTCCGGGCCCGCCGGCCCTGGTCGCTCGCGGGGGCTGCTGTCCCTCTGGCCCAGGGCCTCCCGCGGGGGGTGAAGGCGCCCTCGCGCCTCCGCGCTGGCTGCCAAGGGCCTTTCATCGCCTCCCCCCCCGCGCGCGCCGCGTCTTGGCCGCCACCGGTCACTGGCCTGGGACTGCAGTGTGGACGGGCTGCGTGTCCCGCGGGTTGTCCTGCGGCTGGCAACCTGGCGCCGAGCTCCCTGGGGGGCTGCCGCTGGCCCCGGGTCCGCCCTCTGTGGCTCTGGCAGTCTTGCATCCCGATTCTGTCGGTCTGCGGTGGCGGTGGCACCGCCCTCTCCATCGTGGTCCGCATGCGCCGGCGCAGTGCTGGGATGTGGGATGCTCTGTTGGTGCCCCCGTCGTTCGTGGCTGCGCTGCATTCTGGGGATCCCCCTTTCAGTGCCAGGCGTTCCCCCCCGAGGAGGCGCGTCCAACGCTGCCGCACTCCAGCTCAGACCACATCGGCGAGGTTTTGCCAACCCCCCGTCTATGACAGTTGATGACGTCCCTGAGGGGAATCGAGAGGCGGCTAAACAGCATACTGATGCGGATAGCGCTGTCCTCCCAGCATGGGGACAGGCGCCTGTGCCGCCCGGCGCAGTGGCGGGTTTCCCCCCCAAGAGACCGCCATTGACGTGGGAAGTGGCACCCTTCTCTTCCTGCGTCCATTCAAATGTGAATGTGGTTGTTGGCCGCGCCTCCCCTCCTCCTCCTCCTCCTCCTCCTCCTCCTCCTCCTCCTCCTCCTCCTCCTCCTACTCCTCCTCCTCCTCCTCCTCTCCTCCTCCTCCTCCTCCTCCTCCTCCTCCTCCTCCTCCTCCTCCTCCTCCTCCTCCTCCTCCTCCTCCTCCTCCTCTCCTCTCTTTCAACGTGTACATTGCGGCTGTTGGCTGCACCCCCCTCTCTGCCCCGTGTGTCTCGGCGATAAGGTACCTGCGAAGCTGCAGTAGACCAGCCCGTGGGCCAGTGTGTCCTCATTCATCTGCTGCGGCCCCGTCGCTGGTGTCGGGTACGTTGACGGCACACCGGCCCCCTCCGGGCTGCAGTGTGGTCCGCAGAATGAGTGTTCCGTTGGTACTTTCTGTCGCCCGGCTCCTTCTGTGGTCCGATTCAGCCCTGACTACACCCTTGCGCCTACGTGCTGGCCGCGGCTGCAGCGTATCTCGGCGGTCTTCGACCGTTACCGCTTGGCGGCAGTACTGGCGCATGGGCCTTCGTGTCCTCTTCCATCGTTGCTTCCTGGCTGTGTCCAAAGATAATGGCTGGCGCACTGGCCCCGCCATTGGCAGCGGCGTGCATCGCGGAGTGAGGGCTCTGTAGACCCCCGCCCTTTTCCCGCCTCTGTCCCAGCCGGCCCCGCACACGGCGGTGGCACGGTCGTCGCGCTGAGTGGTTCAGCCTTCAGCGCGTCGCTTCGGTTCTATCTGCATCTGGTTTTCACGAGTTGCAGTACACCGGCCCCGGCCTGCGTGTTCTTACTCATCGTTGCGACCCCGACCTGTCACTGGCATCGGTACGATGACGACACACTGGCCCCCCCCCCAAGCAGTGGAACGGCCCGCGGAGTGTGGGCGTTCCTGGCGCCTGCAGTTCACCGGCTCTCATTGTGGTCTTGTTGTGGCAGGTCCAGTCTTGGTTATATTCGTGAGTGGTTTCGGATTCGTTGGCTGGCCGGCCCCACCATGGGCAACGGTGTGGATCGCGGAGTGAGCACTCTGTAGGTTCCTGCCTCTTCTGCCCCTGTCTTAGCCGACATCGGTACGGCTGTGGTACCCCGGTACTACCTGTCCGGGATAGGTCGGCCGCGCGGACTGGCGCCGACAGGGCGACTCTCCGCTGCCGAATGAGGAGCATTTTGCTTATTGCACGTGCACTTGCAATCTTTGCATGCTTACTGCAGGTGTGTTGCCTGTTGCAGCTTTGCGAACTGGCTTGCCGACGCCGGCGGCTGTGTTCGCAAATTCGCACCGTTCCGCCGCCCCGGACGCCGCTTCCGCTCTTAGACGGTCGCCTAGGAGCCGCCGACCAAAAAGTATCCACGCCAGCCCGCTGTGCTCTTAGGCTAGCGCGTTGCTAATTTGGCAGACCCGTGGCCCGGACCTCCCAGCGCGGCGACTGCGAATCCGCGTCCGCCCGCGGAAAAAATATCCCCACCAGCCCATTCAGAAGCCCTGCCCACGAGAGCTGACGGGAAAAGGGACGAAGGTACACATCTAGCGAAACAAAGCGAGCAACCAGGATGAAGCGAGAGATCTCTGGGAGCAATGGGGTGGCCTTGGAAGGCCTCTTCGGGCCATCCCTGGGGGCCGCGTGGGGGCGAGGGGACGAGGAGGAGGAAGGGGAGCAGGAGGAGGAGGAGGAGGGGCAGGAGGAGGAGGAAGAGGAGGAGGAGGAGGAGGAGGATGAGGAGGAGGAGGAAGAGGAGGAGGAGGAGGAGGGGGAAGAGGCCTCCTGGGCGCCCCTCCCGACAGCCGAGGTGCCGCAGGAGGCTGGCGTGCCGCGGCTGCGCCACGAACTCGCCCAGCTGGCCGAGGGCGCGGGCGCGGCGCCCGCCGGCCCCGTGCAGGAGGCGGCCGCCGTCGGCCTCGGCGTCGCCCCCGGGCCTTCGCTTCGGCAAAAGAAGGAGGCCCAGGTCTCCTTCGCCCTCCTCCTGTTCCTCTTGCTCTTCCTCCTGCTCCTCCTCCTCTTCCTCCTCCGCCTCCTCTTCCTTTTCCTTCTCACACACTTCGTCATCCTCCTCCTCCTTCTCCTCCTCCTCCTCCTCCTCCTCTGTTCCTCCTCCTTCCCCTCCTCCTCCTCCTCCTCCTCTCCCCTTCCTCCTCCTGCGCCTCCTCCTCGTCCTCCTCCCCCTTTGAAAGGTGGCCAGACCTTACGCTTACGCGTGTTGCGTTCGCCCTCCTCCTCCTCCTCCTCTCCTCCTCCTCCTCCTCCTCCTCCTCCTCCTCCCTCCCCTCCTCCTCCTCCTCCTCCTCCTCCCTCCTCCTCCTCCCCTCCTCCTCCTCCTCCTCCTCCTCCTCCTCCTCTCCTCCTCCTTTCCTTTTGAGTTGGCCAGAGTTTACGCTTACGCGTGTTGCGTTCGGCCTCCTCCTCCTCCTCGTCCTCCTCCACCTCCTTCTCCTCCTCCTCTCTCCTTCTTCTTCCTCCTCCCCCTCCTCCTCCTCCTCCTCTCCTCCTCCTCCTCCTCCTCCTCCTCCTCCTGTGAATGGCCAGACCTTACCTTACGCGTTTGCGTTCGCCCTCCTCCTCCTGCTCCTCCTCCTCTCCTCCTTTTCCTGCTCCTCCTCCTCCCCTCCTCCTCCTCTCTCCTCTCCTCCGCCCCTCCTCACGCACATCCTCCTCCCCTCCTCCTCCTGCTCCTCCACCTCCACCTCCTCCTCCTCCTCCTCCTCCTCCTCTTCCTCCTTCCTCCTCCTCATCCTGCTCCTCCTCATGACCATCATCTCTCCCCTGTGAAAGTTGACCAGCCTCACGCATACGCTTGCTGCGTTCGCCTTCCTCCTCCTCCTCCTCCTCCTCCTCCTCCTCCTCCTCTGCTCATGCTCCTCCTCCTCCTCCTCCTTCTCCTCCTCCTCCTCCTTCGGAGTTGGCCAGACCTTACGCTTACGCGTGTTGCGTTCGCCCCTCCCCTCCTCCTGCTCCTCCTCTTTCTCCTCCTCCTCCTCCTCCTCCTCCCCCTCCTCCTCCTCCTCCTCCTCCTCCTCCTCCTCCCTCCTCCTCCTCCTCCTCCTCCTCCTCTTGAGTTGGCCAGACCTTACGCTTACGCGTGTTGCGTTCGCCCTCCTCATCCTCCTGCTCCTGCTCCTCCTCGTCCTCCTCCTCCTTCTCCTCCTCCTTTTGAGTTGGCCAGACCTTACGCTTACGCGTGTTGAGTTCGCCCTCCTCCCCCCTCCTTGTGAGTTGGCCAGACTTTACGCTTACGCGTGTTGCGTTCGCACTCCTCCTCCTCCTCCTCCTCCTCCTCCTCCTCCTCCTCCTCCTCATGCTCCTCCTCCTCTCGCCTTTGCGAATTGAGGTTTTGGGCTGCTCGAGGCCTCGGAGGGCCCTCGTGTGGCCCGTGGCCGTGCAGGGACGGCGCAGCATCGGGACGCGGTCCTGGGGAAGGGGTCCAGATATCCGGGTGGTCCACGTCATGGATCCGCGTCGGTGTCGCCTCACCACCACAGAAGGAAAAGGGACTCCCGGGCATCCTGAGCAACTCGGGGAAGGAACAACACTACACAAACATAAAAATTCTGAGCGCCGCGTGGATTTATTGGATCGAAGCTGGGAACCCTCTGACGGCGCCTCGAGGGGTCCAGCGTCGATCGAAAAAGCCGCCGCGGAGCTTCAGAAGAAGGACGGGACAGTTTGTCCCAGACACCCCGCACCACGTTCGAGTTTCCGGGTCCGGCTTGTTCTGCTTCTCTTGGGCCTCGGGCGGCGCTCTTTTCGCCGCGCCTTGACTTCCCTTTGAAGCTGTGTTTAGCAGGGGTAGACCTCCACGGTGTTTGGGCGACTTTGTGGGCCAGCCGGTTCCGTTTCGATGGCGTTTGGCAGCAAAGGCGGATTGGAGACAAACCGAGGGAAAACGATACCAAACCGAAAACGAAAAGCACACTTTGGGTTGGTCGAGCCCTGGTGCCCAGCACGCACTTCACGTGAAAGTGCAGGGGGCGACTTCTCACCCCTGGGCCCTGCCTGGCCTCCTCGTCCTGGTGAAAGAACCACGGCGGGAGGTGCCCCCTGGGGTGGCATTGCCAGGCTCTGGGGTCAGAAACACCCTGGGATGCGATCGGCGCTCAGGAGACGGGGGCCGATGCAAACGGGGGTCAGTCAGAGCGCCGGATCCTGCAGGATCCTGCAGAGCCAGGGGTGCCTTGAACCCGGGCTGGGATGCAGGATCCTACAAAGCCTGAGCGACACGGGTCTGGATGGACCAGAGTCAGCAGATCAACCGAGGAGGAGCGGGTCCCCCGAGGAAGGTCGGGCCGAACGAAAGGCGGGGATAGGGAAAGGGGGGGGTACGAGATCTGTTGCATGCGGCCGGTTTCGGCCCCGCCGCCGGGTTCTTTCCTCGATACATATGAGCGCCTCCTGGCGCTGGGCTCTTGTTGCACGTGATCTTTCGATCCGCCTGGCGGCCGGCAGCCATGCTAAAGCACCATCCAGCTTTCCCAACGCAACGTCGTTCGGGAGCAGCGCCCTCTCCGATCTGTCGCATGCTGACCAGAGGTTTCATTCACCAGAGGGCGGCAAACAAAAAAAAAAAGACAAACAATGGTCGCCTCCCGGCGCCGGGAGGCGCTGGGAAAATCAGCCACGCGAGCTGATTCTCTACCCTGCCCTTTGCTATCCCCCCCTTTCGTTCCCCCATGTGGGAGGGGTCGAGATCTCCATGGGGCCCACGCGGGAACAGCCGCGGGAGCGGCGGAGGCCAGAAGTCCTGCAGGGAGGCGGCGCCGGGGGGGGGGTGGTCGACTGTCGGGGAGGCTGGGCCCGGGGCCCTCCCTGGGCAGTCCAGGGCGACGAGCTGGTCTTGAGTCGGGCCTGCCCCTCCACAGGGGGTACATTCAAAAATAGACAAAACATAGTCTGGGGGTGATTTATGTACATATACACCCTGTAACGCCCCTGACGGGGGTAGAAACCAATTGGGTGCAGTTTACTCCGTGAAGCGTCGTGTTGTCTCCTCCTCAACTCGTGTTCTTGCGGCAGACGTCCACCCCTGAGGCTCGCGGAAGTTTCCACAAGGCTCGCAGGTGGTCAGAAAATTGCCCCGAGGTTTCGTCTTCGACTCCGTTCCCAGAGCCCCGACGTGGTGTCTGTTCATCGTGTCGGCGCCCTTGTTGTCGTGAAATTCTCCTCGGAGGGCGTCTTTGTGGCGCTCCCGAGAGAGGTGAGGAGGGAGGAGGGAGGAGGGAATGAGGAGGGAGGAGGGAGGAGGACGGATGGGGAGGAGGCGGATCTCGCGCACGGCGCTGTCGGAACCATCGAGGCTACGGATGAGGTAGGAGGAGGAGGAGGAGGAGGAGGAAGAGGAGGAGGAGGAGGAGGAAGAAGAGGAGGGGGCGGAGGAGGAGGATGAGAAAGAGGAGGACTGAGGAGAAGGAGGAGGAAGACAGGCTGAGGAAGGAATTAGAAGCAGGACGGATTAGGAGGCGGATGACGACGACGAGCAGGAGGAGGAGAGGGAATGACGCCCGTCCTGGAGCCTCTTGGTGTCGCCTAGGCTCTCCTAGAGCGTGCTGGGGTTCCTGTGGCCTGTTTGGGCTCTTCGGGGCATCTTAGGGCCTCTTGGAGCCTCCTGGGCCCTCTGGAGCTCCCTGAGTGTAATTCAAAGTGGGTCCTCCGGGGGGCTCTTGAGATCTCGTGGGCTCTTCCCGGGCCGCCATGGGCCCTCCTGGAGCCTCCGTGAGCCCTCTAAGAATTCTCTCGCGGGGGCGGAATGATGAAAACAATTTCACGCATGGGGGCCTTTCCGTTGAGAAGGGGGGCGCGGTGCAGAGTGGGTCCTCCTGGGGCCCTCCGGAGATCTCTTAGACACTCCCGAGGCCGCCATGGGCCCTCCTGGAGCCTCTGGGGGCCTCTAAGAAGCTTCTCGCGGGGGCCGAAAAATGACGACAGTTTCACGGATGGAAGCCTTTCCGTTGGGAAGGGGAGCGCGGTGACTGGTAGTAAAGTGACGACACTATCGCATTTGAGGCCCCAAATCGTCCTTGGACACCGGGCGCGAATCCCCCTCCCCTGTGCGATTTCCCCTCCCCCCGCTGTCCCGCCGGACCCCAGGAGGGTGATTTTTGTGGTTTTCGCTTGTAAGAAACACTTCCCCCCCCCTCTCGACGGTGACGGAGGCAGGCGGCGGGGGTGGGCGGGTTGGCGGGGTGGCGGGTTGGCTGGGGTTGCGGGGTGGCTGGTTGGGCTGGTTGAGCCGGTTGAGTTGTTTGGGTGGCTGGTTGGTTGGGCTGGCTGGTTGGGCTGGCCAGGGCAATTGGTTTCTATACATATATATATATATAGATAAAACATGTTGGAATCTTGTTGGGGTACTTTTCATTTTTCGTTGAAAGTCCCCCTGTGCGGGGACAGGCCCGACTTGAGACTGGTCCAGGGGGGAGTAGGGGATCGACTACAGCATCGATGTACCCCAAGATTGTTTTTTGTTCGTCGGATCTACGAACAGTACGTAGAATGCCCCGCAGGTCTGCGAACACTCACTTGGGACAATTCGATGAGGGGTGCATCAATCCTGTAGTCGATCCCCTACTCGACGGTCCAGGTCCCGTCTCCCTCAGGGCCTTGCGTCCTTCATGCCAACTGTCGCCGCTCCCCCCGCCGACTCCGTCGTCGACATCCGTCGTCGGCGTCATTCGCCCGTCGTCGTCGTCCGTCGGCGTCGGCGTCGGCGTCGGCGTCGTCGTCGTCGATGTAAGCCGTATGTTTGTCGGCGGCGAGCGAGGGGGGGAGGTGAGAAGGAGAAGGCCTTCTGCGAAGGTTCGAAAGTCTCCCGGCCTTTGAGAGGTTGTCTACGCCTTCCCTGAAGACACAACCGACTCCTCAGAGGATCCCAGGGCTTCTGAGAAGTCCCATAGTCTGTTGAGAAGGCCTTCTCCTTCTCGTTTCCCCCCTCGTTCGCCGCCGAGCTTGGGTTAGTCGATCGGGTATGGATATTCACTCTGTCTTTCGTGGTTGCCCTGCCGTCGCCACAGCCAGGAAGGCCCCAGAGTCCTGGCCAGAGCGCGCCGACGGACAGCTCGGTTGCTCTGGGGGAGGAGGAGCCAGGCTCGAGCTTATAGATTTGTTGTTGCGTTGGTGATCAGCTTTTGTCCGATTCTATCGCGGGGGAGCGATAGGTTCTCGAACGGTTTGAGCTTCAGTAGTTTTGATCACTGTGATTTCTCCAAGTGTGCCCACGCTCTCACCCTGCGCTCCTGTCCCTCAGGCGATCGCAAACATGGATCAAGGGGGCGTGGATTAGCGACGGGTCTCGCTTCCATGGGGGATCGCGGATTTCCGCCGCCGGGCGAGGCGGCACCAGCCGCACCTCCACCGATCATTGGGTTTGGCGACCGCGCGCCAAGTCTACGGATCGCCAGTCCACGTTTGCGCGCCCCCGGATCGCCTGTCTTCGGCTTCCAGACGGGCGGCGCACCGCGTGCTGCCTCGGCGCTGCCGCCTCGGCGGTGGCGCTGGCGGCCACGCGTGGCAGGTACGCGGGGCCCGCGCCGAAGCCTTTCGGCGCAGCCCTGCAGTGGGCCAGCAGATCGTGGAATCTCGTGACGGAGTCTTATGACGTTCCAACCTACTTCTAGTCTTGATCACCAGAAAATAATGTCGAGCACCAAGAAGGTACCGAACCTTGAGCGTTGTCACGTGCCCGGCCCTGGGTGGCGATATTCGTTCGACATTGTTTCGATACTTGTCTGCGTGCTCGGATTTCTTCTCTTGGATTTGGTCCTTGAATAAGATGGGAGCAAGAGCGTGTTCCTTTATCGCTTTGGGCATAATGGACATGATAGCACTCCCGGCACCCTTCCCCCCTATATCGTAGCGCCTCCTTTCCGAGTGCGCTCCGGGCACTGCCGCCGTGCGCATCGGGATCCCCATCGGCGTCTTCATAGTAGTCCGCATTGGAGCCTGGTCCGCATTGGGAATCTTATGGGGATCCGCATAGGCATGCGCATGCGCATCTGCATCGGGATCTGCGCGCCGCGCAAGGAGCCGCACAGGAATTCGCATAGGGATTGGCATGGCACTGCGCATGAGCATCCGCATAGGCATCCGCATAGGGATCCGCATCGGGATCCGCATAAGCATCCGCATAGGGATCCGCATAGGGATCCGCATAGGGATCCGCATGGGGATCCGCATAGGGATTCGCATAGGGACCCGCACTGGGATCCGCATAGGCATCCGAAATTGTGGTTTTGTGAGCCCAGTAAAGTGTTTTGTTCTTCCTTTTGCTCCTCCCTCTCCTCCCCTTTCTCCTCCTCATCCTCCTCCTCCTTCTCCTCCCCCTCGGAGGAGGAGGCTGCGCCTGTCTGTCGTCTCAGGGGGGACGGCCCTACGCGTGGCTAGGCGGTGGCGCCGGGGCGCCGGCATCACTCGAACGTCTCATAGTCGGAGATCTGACAATTGGGGCTGGGGTCGGAGAGATGGGAGCCCGAGTCGGAGAGATTTGAGCCGGAGTCGGAAAATTGGGAGCGGGAGTCGGAAAGCCGGGAGCTGGAGTCGGAGAGACAGGCGCCGGAGTCGGAAATTTGGGAGAAGGTGGCGTAGAAGGGAGGAGAGAAGAACGTCGCATTCTATTGTCAGCACTTCCCTGGCGTGGCGTTTAGTTGTCCGCAGCAGATCCTCACCTACATGCTCGTTCTACCTGCCCTATGCACGCAGGCACTGTGGTGTATACCAGCGCTGCGTGCACGCGGATGCTGTGGCGTAGACAGGCGCTGTGTTGCACATGGTTGCTGCGGTGTTATACATTCGCTGTGGTGTACACCAGCGCTGTGGTGCACGCAAACACTGTGGTGTACACGGCGTTGCGTCGCACACGGCTGTTGCGGTGTACGCAGGCGCAGTGGTGTACACGCGCGCTGTGGTGCACGCGAGCATTGTGGTGTACGCAGGCGCTGCGGGGCAGGTCGTCACCTATATGCTGCTCGCGTCGTCGTCGTCGTCGCTCGTCGCTGGTCGCTCGTCGCTCGTCGCTCATCGTCGTCGTGCGCGCGGGCGCGGCTGTAGTGTCGGAGACACGCGGCGGGGGGGGCGTTACAGTATAATCGGGGGTGGACAGACCTCCTACCCTGACACGTCGACTGAGGAATTGGCCGTTTTCGGTTTGCGAGGGGGCGTCGCGGCCGTCGTTTTTGCGGGTCCAGGTCCGTCGGTGTGGGTCCCAGGCCGTTTTCACTAAGGGGAGGACCGCCGATATAACCCCCCCCTCGCCCCCCCCCCCCCCTCCCTATAATGCCCATTATCGCCGAAATAGAGGAGTGAGCTCCAACATAAACGGAGGCGTCTCTCCGGCCGCTCGTCGGGCCGAGGCCGCAGCCCCGGGGATATCACACCCTCCCGCCGCTGGGAGGAGTGAGAGTCGCGCGTGCTGTGTTTGCGCGTGGCACTGGGCGTTTCGAGGCTTCCGTTAGACCGAGTCCCTGCAGGGAGAAGTTTCGGTGGCCCTGAGTGTGGCAGGCGTATTTCAGAGCGTGAATTAGCTACCCCGCTTTCGCTTCCAGGCAAAACCAAGCCATACCACGCGCCTCCTTGTCAAGCGGCCTGACCAGTACAGGCTGCAATTTCGCATCGTTGGTACTCCAGATTTCGTAATGAAGGGAGGGGGGTCTCATTTCGGGGGGGGGTCTCTTCCAGGCTATCTTGGAGGGCCTGGGGGGGTCTGGGGAAGATGTTTTGGAGGGTTCTCCCACGGGGGGGTCTAAAACTTCTCATCTGGGAGGGTTGAGACCCTCTCCCTTTTATTACGAAATCTGGAGTATCTCTTGGAAGCGAGGGTGGTCAAAAGCGAGGTAGGTTTGTTTATCCCCTAGTATCGCCCAAGGTTCTGGGAGCAGCTTGCGGTAGGCTCGTGTCGTGCAGGACGCGACGGCGAGCCCGCCGAGGGCGGTCAATGTTGAGCGCGTCCAGTAGTTCAGAATCGGCCAGAAAGGGAGGATCTGGCGACCGAGCAGCGCCAATCGTTCAGTAATGATTGATTTACGCGGCGTCATAAACCAACGTCGGGGTTGTCACGACACGAACTCGCCGTAACATGATCCCAATTACCAGGCCTCTCGTTGCAGAATTTCGCCGTGTGGCGGAAGAGGGACGAAGGAGGATGGAACGGAGGGATGAAGGAACGCACGTGCTTTCTGATTGCGGTATTATTGACGAGACCTGCGGGGTGGGAAGGAATCGGAGGAGCGGAGGGATGATAAGAGAGGGATGAGGCGGCGGAGGCGGAGAAGTGGGGATGTGGAACGAGGCAGGAAGAGGTGGAGGCGGCGGTCGAGGGGCGATCGGTTTAGGGGGATGTAAGGGGGAACGGTGGATGGAGGATGGATGCCATCACCTATGCGGCAAGTTGTGTTTGCGCGACTGTCCTTTCTTCGGATTCCGAGTCCCAGAAGAGTGAGGAGGAGATGAGGGGGGTGATGATGATGAGGAGGAGGAGGAAGAAGGATAGATGCAAGGGAGGGAGGGAGACAAGGAAGGTTGGATGAGGAGTGGGGATGGCGATAAGGTTGAATGAGGGAGAAGGACGAGGAGGAAGGTCGTGGCGCGAGTTCCGAACCGTCCGCGTTGCCGAACTCGGCGGGCGGCACATCGTGTCAAGGAGTCACCGCCAACGCCACAGCCAAGTTCAGCTCCCGCATGCAAAACACGGGAGAGCGAACGACCGCGGCCTCACAGAAAGGGCCGCGCAGCGCGCCCAGGGAGACAGGGTGGGGGGGAGCAGGCAAAAGGAGGGAAGGCAGGAAGCAGGAGGAGGAGGAGGAGGAGGAGGAGGAGGGGGAGGAGGAGGGGGAGGAGGAGGAGCAGGGGAGGAGCAGGAGGAGGGGGCAGGGAGGAGGGAAACGGTGCATGGAGGAGGACAGGGGGGGGAGGACAGGGCGGCAAAGCGATGGGGGGGGGGCCCTTGGCAGCCGCTGCCCAGCTGCCGCGCGCCAGGTGGACGCCCCGCCGCCGCCCCGCGCCGCTGGCCCCTGCGGCTGCCACGGGCCCACCCCCGGCTGGCAGCACGACGCTCCGCAGGCGCAGTGGGCGGAACCGCCGCCCCACTCCGCGGCCTACCGCGGGGCCGGCGCGCCGTGGCAGCCGCAGGGGCCGCCCGCCGAGCGGCCCGACGCGGGGGCCCCGTGGCAGCAGGACGCGCCGCCGCCGCCAGGCTACCCAGCGCCGAGCGGCGGCGCCCGCGGCGGGTGCGGGCGCCGCGGGGCGGAGGGCGCCTGGCCGCACGCCGCGCCCCGACCGCCCGGGCGGCACCACGGCTGGGGGGGCCCGGAGCCCTACGCGGGCGGCGGCTGGGGCGGGGGGGCCGCGGCGGGCCCGCGCTACGCAGAGCTGGGCGCCGCGCCGCCGCCGGGGGGCTGCTTCCAGGGCCCGCAGCGCCACGCCGCCGACGCGCCGTTCGGCCAGGGGGCGGCGGGCAGCCCGTGCGGCCATGGGCTGGCGGCGCCCCACCCGCAGGCCGAGCCGGGCCAGCGCCGCGGCTCGGGCGGCGGCAGGCAGGGCGGACCGCCCGGGGCCCACGTGCGCCAGCAGCGCGGCGGCGCCTTCGTCGGCGCGGCGGGCCCGCTGCCGCCCCAGCCGGATCAGGCGGGTTCGGCCGCGCGTGGGGAGTCGGGGGTGAGCGAGGGGGGGGAAGTGAGAAGGGGCGGGGTCTTTTCAGAGGGCTCGGAAGCCCCCGGGTCTGAGAACCCCCGCTGCCTTCTGAGAGGGCATTCTGCCGCACAGCCCCCGCATCTCAGAGATTTTCGATTTATCGTCACTCGATCTTATCTTCATCCGATTTCATCCTCACCCGAGTTTAGCCTCACCCGATTTGATCCCCGTCCTGGCTTGCTCTTGACCATGCTCCTAGAGATCTTAGGGATGTCGAGTCAGGTGTGGTTCCTCTGCCATTTTTGGCCCCCGAGGGTTTTTTATCTGGCCGCGGGGGCCGTCAAGCGGCAAAAGCCTAGGAGGAGCAATGAATGGGTCGGGAGGTCTGGGTCCCCGAGATGCGGAAATGTCGAGCCCTCTGAGGTCTGCGGAAAAGGATAGTCCCAAGGAGCGTCTTCTGGGGGCGGCGCACACGTGCTATGAGTCGGAGGTGAGGGGGTGAGATCGAAGTGGAACGGAGAGCTCCCCTACCGGGAAATCGGTTTCGGTTTCGTGTTCGTGCGTGCCGTGCGTGCGGGCGAGGCGAAGCTGCGTGGGCGGGCGAGAAGAAAGTCTCCTCCGGCTGAGGCGCGGCCTGATTAAATGTTTCCTTTGCGGGGGCCGGTGCCGCGCGGTGTCCCGCCGGTGTCCCGCCTCCGGCCGAGGCGCGGCCGCACCAAATGTTTCCTTGCCAGGGGCCGGTGCCGCGCGGTGTCCCGCCTGTGTCCCGCCTGTGTCCCGTCGGTGTCCCGATGCTGATGATGATGATGATGATGATGATGATGATGATGTCGATGATGATGATGATGATGATGATGATGATGATGATGATGATGATGGTGATGATGATGTTGATGGTGATGGTGATGATGAGAATGAGGACGAGGATGAGGATGAGGATGAGGATGAGGATGATGATGATGATGATGATGCTGATGCTCATGCTCATGCGGATGCTGATGATGATGCTGATGAATGGTGAATGATGATGATGATGATGATAGACATGTCGATGATGCTGATGATGATGGTGATGACCCGATGATAATGATGATCATGATGATGATGATGATGATGATGATGATGATGTAGATGATGTTGTTCATGATGATGATGAGATAATGATGATGATGGTGGTGTTCCGATGCTGATGATGTTGGTGTCCCGATGATTATGATGTTGACGATGCTGATGATGATGATGATAATTTTGGGCCATTGTGGTGATGATGGTGTCCCGATGATAATGTTGATGATGCTGATGTTGCTGATGATGATGGTGTCAAGGTGATGATGATGATGATGTTGATGATCATGATGATGTTGATGATGATGATGATGATGGGACGATGTGATGATGCTGATGATGATGCTGAAGATGATGATGATGATGATGATGATGATGATGATGATGATGGTGTGCCGGTGATGATGGTGATGATGGTGAATTTGAAGATGATGATGTTGTTGATGATGATGGTGATGATGATGATGATGGTGTCCTGATGATGATGTCGATGATGAAGATGATGACGGTGATGGTGTTACGATGATGATGATTTTGATGATGAGCATGATGATGCGGTGATGATGAGCTGATGGTGTCCCGATGATGATGATGATGCTGGTGATGATGATGATGCTGATGATGATGATGATGATGGTGACGATGATGATGGTGTCCCAATGATGATGATGTGTATGATGATGTTGTTGCTGGTGATGATGGTGACCCGGTGATGATGATGTTGATGATGTTGTTCATGATGATGATGATGCTGGTACGATAATATTGATGATGATGGTGGTGTTTCGCTGCTGATGATGCTGGTGTCCCGATGATTAGGATGTTGTCGGTGATGATGGTGACGATGATGGCGTCCCGATGATGATGATGATGATGATGATGATGATGATGATGATGCTGATGATGTTGATGATCATGGTGATGGGGTGATGATTTGAATGATGGTGTCTCGATTGTGATGGTGATGCTGATATTGATGGCGTTGATGACGATGATGTTGATGATGAGGACGTTGATAGTGAGATCCTTTGTGATATCGATAATGAGATCGATAGTGAGATCGATAGTGAGATCTAAGTGAGATCGTTTGTGAGATCGATACTGAGATCGATTGTGATATCGATAGTCAGATTGATTGTGAGATCGATCGAATGAAATCGATCGAGTGAGATCGATTGTGAGATCGATCGAGTGAGATCGATCGAGCGAGACCGATAGTGAGATCGATAGTGATATCGATAGTGAGACCGATCGAGTGAGACATTGGTTCCTCCCCCCCCGAACCTCCTTCTCACCTGGAGGGTGGTCGTATAGGTGTGTTCGGGCGGTGCCGATCGAAGGGCTCTCGGCTCGGGGCCTGCTCGGGCCGTCTCGGGGCTCGCTGGTGCCAGGGCGGCGCCGCCTCTGGAGCGGAGCCACGGAGGCACCATGGCCTGGGAGAAGCTGCTCGACCCTTTGGGGCGTCGTTTGCACGTCGACCGGAAGAAGTACGTAAAAACATGAAGTATCGTCGTCGTCGTCGTCATCGACGACGCTCTCGTCATTCTCGTCGTCGGCAATTTCTGTTGCGGGCGCCGTCGCCGTTGCCATCGCCGTCGCCGTCGCCGTCGCCGCCGTCGCCGCCGCCGCTTCCGCCGCCGCCGTCGCCGTCGCCGTCGCCGTCGCCGTCGTCGAGGCCGTCGTCGTCATCGTCGTCGTCGTCGTCGTCGCCCTGGTCGTCGTCCTGGTCGTCCTTCTCGTAGTCGTCGTCGTTTGCCAGCGTTGGGCGTCGTCGTCGTCGTGGTCGTGGTCGTCGTTGCTGTCGGCATTGTCGTCGAGGACGGCGATGGCATCGACGATAACGACGTCGTCGTCGTGCCTGCGGGTAGGAGGGTCCGAACCCTTCTTCTCTAATTTTCGGATCGAGGGGATCCGGCCCCACGACTGTCGAAGGGGGGAGGACTCGTGGCTCTGATTTTCGGAGGGGGGGTGGATGGGTTGGCGGGGGGCTGTTCTGGCAGGGGGGAAGGGAGGCAGGTTCTGGTTCTGGAGAGTACAGCCAGACCGCATGGGAAGGATGGGCAACCTTCCCGAGGGTACCTTTGCATATTTGCCTCCTCTGCCCATGCCTGGCCGCCTTCGTTGGCCGCGCCCCGCTCGAAAAGCTCCGAAACGGACTTCCAAGGCCCGTGCATCATTTTCGCGCATCCGTATACTTCTGATGCGGGTTGACTGTTGGAGGGTAGGAGGGGTCGGCGGGGGGGTGTACTGGCCCAGGAGAAGAGGGGGAGTCCTGGCTCCGGAGAGGCGGTGGGGATTTTCGGGCGGGGGGATTTCGCCACCAGCGAAGCTCACGCAGAAGTCGATCTCCCGGGTGCCCACAGGGCACCGAGGAGCCGAGGCGCCGAGAGCGGCGGGCTCGCCCCGCGGAGGAAGCATATCGACCCCCGAGCGCCACCGCCTGGCATATGGGGGCCTCGGTGCCCCGATCCTTCCCGGGAGCGCTGGGGGGGAAGTTCTCGGTCGCCGGGGCCGTCGCCGACCTATCGGCGATGCGTCGTCGATGCCAGGCCGTGGCCCGCCCTCCCTGGGCCAGGCCCTTCCCCTGGCGGGGGAGGCGGAGGAGGGCCCACTGCGCCGTGTAAGGGATCCGCTGAGCGGTTGTGGACAGCTCTCGCCGATCTGTCGGCGATGCGTCGTCGATGCCAGGCCGTGGCCCGCCCTCCCCTGAGCCAGGCCGTTCCCTCATCGGAGGAGGCGGAGGAGGGCCCACTGTGCCGCGTGAGGGCTCCGCTGAGCGGTTGTGGATGGCTCTTGTGAGCTCCTCCTCGTCCTCGCCCCCTCTTTCGGCTCAGTAGTCCTTCCTCCTCCTCCTCCTCCTCCTCCTCCTCCTCCTCCTCCTCCTCCTCCTCTTCCTCCTCCCCCTCCTTCCCTGTGTGGCGCTGATTTGCCCTGGTGGTGTTGAGCGTGGAGCCGAACGACCTTTTCCCCTGAGTGAGCCAAAACTTGTCTGGAGGGAGGGGCTTCGAGCTCCAGAGACCCGCGGCTGAAAACAAGCATCATTCACGCCAGAGGTCGGGGTGAGGACGGAGGGGGCAGATGGTCAGGGGCAACGATAGGGGGGGATAGGCATAGGGGGGGATGCATCGACCCCGAATCGCCCATTGATCGCCTAGAGGGGCCCGATGGCCCCGACCTGCCCAGGAAGGTGCGGATTCACTATCGGGGTCCCATCGCCGATCTATGGGCGATGTATAGCCGATTCCAGGTCGATGCATCCCCCCCTATGCCAGTCCCCCCCTATCGTTGCCCCTCTCATGGCGGCAGGAGCAGGTGGGATGTTTGAAGACGGAGGACCGGAGGGAACAGGGAAGCAATTGGCTGGGTGGGAACGAATGAGGATGGCGGGCAGACAGAGACAGAGGGAGGTAGATGAGGAGGAGGAGGAGGAGGAGGAGGAGGAGAAGGAGGACGGGGAAGATAGACGAGACATGATTGAATTGGGACTATCTTGGCTGAAGAGCCGGCCACACTGGTGGCGCGGCAGCTGGCTTGCACTTTTCTGCAGTGCAGGGCACTTGCCCTGTCCCACTTTACGGACTCCTGGAGCGCCATGGACAGTCGGGGCTCCCCGCGGGAGGGAGGCGGAGGACAGAGGAGGAGGCACGGGGAAGTCCAGACTCCGCACACACTGCAGCCCAGGGCATTCCTGACCCCCGAGCCAGTCGAGCGTCAGCTCGGCACTCGCGGCGTCGACGCCGTGCGGACGCCGACGCTCGCACTAAGAATCGGCAAGGCTCGCCCACTCGTGGGTGCATTTGCTGTCGCTAGCTTCAAGTCGGGCCTGTCCCTCTACAGGACGAATATTCGAAAATAGTTGAAAAATACTCGGAGGACTATTTTTTGACTATTTCTCAGCATTCTGAACATATGTTGGCATGTTGGTGCTATTTTTTAGAATTTTTCTGCCAACATCCCCCTGTAGGGGGACAGGCCCGACCTAACGCTAGCTCCTGTGCCCCGGGCGCCGGCCAGGGGCAGTGGAAAAGCGACGGAGGCCCCTAGAAGATTTGTGCGCTCAGTGAGAGAACAGAACATAAGAGACCAGCACCGCCCTAGACAGAGAGCGCATCGTGGCGATATCCGCTCTGCGCATGTTCTTCCATCTGCGCCTTCACCGTTCCTCAATGAAGACCGTGTCTCGGAACGCACTCTAGCCGCATGCCGCCCTGGTCGCTTCAAAGCAGCATGACAGGTAGGCTTTGAGCGCAAATGGGCAGGCCCCCCCCCAGACACCCGACGTCGGATTCTTGTTCGACACGTGTCTTTTCAGAGGACTGGGCCCCTGCCCCGACGAGGCTGACAGCGGCCAACACTTGCCCTGGCGTCGTGCATGTTGCTCGCGGCGTGAGGGTGTCAGGGGGATCTCTGGAGAGCGCTCGCCTGGATGCTCCCGCCCGTGCTGATGGGGCACTGGCCACGCTCTTGACGCAGCCAGTGGCCAGGCAGGCGCCGCGCTTGGGCTCAGGGGCGATGAGCCACGGCCGCGAGCGCGGGGTCGCTGCGGTGTCCCTCGTTTTTTCCGCGTCGCTCGTTCTTCCGCGGCAAGTGCTCGCTCCGCCCGCCCGCCACCCGCAGGACTGGCGTGGTCACCCCGACATGCTTGCCGGCGGCCCGCCGGAGCCGCAGCCGCCCTGGTGGGGCGACGCGCGACAGCGCTCGCCGCCCGACGTCGGCGAGCCAGGCGGCGGACCGCGGGGTCCGGGCATTTGGCGTGCACGCTCGGCGTCGCATATATCGGCGATCAGGTGATCCTCGGGATGTGTGTTTGTGTGTGTGCGTGTGTGTGTGTGTTTGCCCAGTTTGCGCCAACCTCTTTCACCCTCCACCGACAGCACGCGTACTGTGCAGGCCCGCATGATGTTGCCTGCATCGCGCTGACGGGTCGCCCTGTGGATCATCGAAAAGATCCGGGCGCACGCAGGGCAGGAAAACAAACAGGTTCGAAGCTTTGCGCCGCGTCGCCTCCCTGGCCATGCTCTTGTGCATGAGTTCGATGATGGTACCTTGGCCAATGTGGCGTTGTTAGTCTGGTTCGACGCGTGTCCAAACGATGCTCGGCCATGTTCGGGTGGCCAGTTGTCGACGCTTCTCGCATCCCCACCAGCATATCCAAAATCAATCGCCAAGCGAGCTCCAATGACCAGGGATGCGTAGCAGCATGCAGTCACGCTTTGGGACCCTTTTTGAGGCATCCTGGGGCTATGGGGCCCTCTTGAGGCCAGTGTGCAAGTCATGTGGGCCCTCTTGGGGCCCGAAGAAGGCCATCTTGGGCTCTCTCGGGGCTTCTTGGGGGCGTGTACCGGCCTCTTTGGGGTCATCTCGGAGGCCGTCGATCAAAGAGGGGGGGCCAATTACTCTCCGTCCCTTGGAGGCAGAAGAATGGCCTCTTCGGAGCCCTATCAAGGCGCTCTTGGGCCCTCTTCGGCGCGTTTGGGGCCGCCTCGCGCGCTTCTCGGGGCTCGCCGGGGCCATCCTGGAGGCATCTTGGACCTCCGCGGAACCCGTCGGAAGCGAAAGGCGATCATGTACCAACTCATGTATCTTCCTGCTGCCTTTGAATGATGACGGCCTCTCGGGGGCGCCCCTGGGAGGCTCCGCGGCCACTCGGAACCGCTTTCGGATGGCATTGGACTTTCTTGGAGGCATGCTGGAAGCTACGCTGAACGATGGTGGGATGTACTGCACGATGTTGGGAGGCCATCTCGGCCAGCCCGGGCCGTCATGAAGCCGTCTTCGGGTCATCTCGGACCTTCAACCACCTGCGGAACGCCCCCTCAAGACCCAGGCAGACGGGGTAGGAGGAGAGTTCAACTTCCCACCCAAGAGAAGGAGGAGGTTGGAGGCACGAACTCGCTAAACCACCTCGGCCCGAAAAGCTTCTCGGATTCGGTTGCCATTGGCAATTGTGCGTGACGCTGTTCCACGTCTGCCTCCTTCTCCTTCTCCCCTCCTCATTGTGCTTTTGGGGCCACGGTGCCGCCAACCTCGCCCATGGCGTCGGGGAGGGAAGTTGCCGCGCGCGCATGCGGCATCAGACGCCTGATGCCGCCTCGCACGCCCTCGTCTCTGCTTTTCCTCTCCTGCATTTCCACCCACATTGTCCCTCCCGTCTTACTCCTGGGGTCGGGCAGCCAGGGTGCGCCGAGGAGTCGGCGTGCGAGGGGGAGGAGGTGCGAAGGGGCAGGCCTTCTCCGAAGACTCCGAAGCCCTCTGGCATTCCCAGAACACTTCTCAGAAGGCGCGAGGGCTTCTGAGAAATCACGCCGCCTCTGAGAAGGCCTTTTCCTTCTCACTTCCCCCTCGCTCGCCGCCAAAAAATCCGTTCCAGAGCGTTCCAGAGCGCTATCAGAGCGTTCCGGAACGCTCTGGAACGCTCTGAGGAGGCTGCGGCGCCAGAGACATCTTCCATGGCCGCCGGATTTCAGAGATTCTCGATTCTCACCCGAATTCATCCTCGTCCTGGCTTCGTCTTCACAACAGACCCTGTCCCGCGCCGGCGGCCTGCCCGGGGCGCTGGGCAGACGGGGCACGGCTGGCTGTGCTCGGGGGCCAGCTTGCTCCCCGGGCTCCGGAGCATCCGCCCCTGGCGGCCTTGGGGCCGCCGCTTCGTGAGACCTGGATGGGGTCGGAGCTGATGGGGTCGGAGGATCGCGCCGCATCGCCGATGCATCGCCGATGCGGCTCGATGTGGCGTCCTGTTTTCTCCGCGCTTGCGTCGCCGAAGCTCCGCCGACGTCGCTGATACATCGCCGATGTATCGGCGATGCATCGCCGATGGGGCGTGATCCTCCGACCCCATCTACTTCGACCCCATCTAGGAGACCTACAGTGAAAGCTGTTTTTTTTAACGATTGGAACATAAAAGGCAGGGTTCCAGGAGGCACTTGTTCGGCGTCCGAGGTGGAGGGCGCACTTGGCGGCCCTCCTTCTTTGATCGATGTCCTCGATGGTCCCAAGTAGCCTTAAGTCGGGCCTGTCCCTCTACACGAGCAATATTCAAAAATAGTAAAAAAATAATCAGGGGACTGTGTTTGAGCATTTTTTGACCATGATGACGTATTTTTCATTTTTCGTCGAAAATCCCCTTGTAGGGGGACACGCCCGACTTAAAGTAGCCCCGTCAAAGCCCCCAGCGAGAGCCCAAATGCCAGGCAACAAAGCCCCTATTGGACCCCAAGTGGCCGCGCGAACGCCCCGAGATGTTTCAAGGAGGCTTCCAGGGCGTAGTGTTAAGTCGGGCCTGGCCCTCTACAGGTGGAATTTTTTAAAGTAGTAAAAAAATAGTCCGGGGACTTAGAAAATATATGTTTTGATCACTTTTGAGCGTTTTCCAGTGTTTTTTTAATTTTTCCTCCAAAATCCCCCTGTATGGGGGACGCGCCCAACTTAAGCGTAATGTCGGCTTGTGATTACAAAAGGCCAACACCCCCTGGAGCTGATGAATAGACCCCTCGGGGCGCGAAACATTTTTTCATCACGCGCGCCAAAGGGTCGTCGCTGGCGCCGCCGAGGGGATCGCGCACCCCCGTGCATGACAGCCTCAATACGAGTACATGTCGTATAGAAGTTGTAACAGGTGTCGTGCACATCCGAGGCGAATGTTTGCTCGCCCTCTCAGGTGTCGTCGTCGTCGTCGCCGCCGTCCTCGTCGTCGTCATCGTCGTCGTCGTGGTTGTCGTCGACGTCGTGTCGTCGTCTTCTTCTGCGTTGTCCTTGTCGTCGTCGTCTTCGTCGTCGTCGTTGTTGTCGTCGTCGGTCGTCGTCGACTACAGCGAGCACGCGCAGCCCCCCTCATAGGGCATCCGCAGTGCGTCGTCGTCGTCGTCGTCGTCGCCGCCGTCGCCGTCTGCCGTCCGTCGTCCTCGTTTCCGTCCCGTCGTCGTCGTCGTCGTCGCCGCCGTCCTCGTCGTCGTCGTCTTCTTCTGCGTTGTCCTAGTCTTCGTCGTCGGCGCCGTTGTCGTTGTCGTCGCCGTCGGTCGACTACAGCGGGCCTGCGTAGCACCCCTCCCCCCCACCCCCACATGGCATCCGCAGTGCGTCGTTCCTTGTCGCCGTCGCCATCTGCCGTCCGCCGTCGTCCGTCGTCCTCGTCCTCGTCCCATCATAGTCGTCGGCGTCGTCGTTGTCTTTGTTGTTGTCGTCGTCCGTTTTCTTCTTCGTCGTCGCCGCCGTCGACGTCTGCTGTCCGCCGTCCGTCGTCGTCGTCGTCGGCGTCGGCGTCGTCGTCGACGATTTCAGAGACCACGACAGACGGGGGGAGGAAGACTGCCCGCCTTGCTTGGGTCGGACGAGGCTGGGGAACGAAAAGGGGGATTGCGACACCTTCTGCGCGCAGGCAGGCCGGGGGACGGCGGCGACGATGGCGACATAGAAGGGAGGAGGACTACCCGCCGTGCTCGGGTCGGACGAAAGGCTGGGAATGGAAAAGGGGGGTTGCACAGCCTGCTGCGCGCAACTGGTTTCGGTCGCCCCGCCGAAGGGCAAGTCCTCGACGCATGGCCGTTTTGGGCGTCAGGAGGCGCTTGGAAAATCAGCAACGTGAGCTGCTTGGCGGAACCCTTTCTGCTGCGCCCCGCTTTCAGCCAGCCCGCCCTGCCCGCAGGCCCGCATGCTCGACAGAAAGAGGGGCGGGCGCCCTGGCTCGCCCTTGCCTCCAACCCCCCCCCTGCCCCTCGTTGGCGGCCGGGCATCGGCGCTAATCACCGGCGCGGCCCCGTTGATTTTCAATCTGGCGGGTGCCACCCCGTGACTCGCCCGAAGATGGGGAGTATTTGTTCAATCGCGCGCCCCCCCACGGATTTGTGAATCACAAGCTGACGCTAACTGAATGTATTTTTGCGCATCCCCGGTTCGGGCAAGTCGCCTATTGATTATTTGTGGATGGGCTGGTAACGCCGCGCGGAGCGTCGCGAATAAACCATATGGCTCGCGTCGCAATTTTGCCCAACGAGCCCATCGGCCCAGCCTTACCGAGACGCTACGCTGCACTTTCTGGAACAAAAGCATGAGGAACGGATTGCATCGAACACGGGCGCGCAACCGACGGTTGAAACCACAAGTACAATCCAGAAAAAATTGTAGATGTCAATTCGGTATCATTCGGAACCGCCCTCAACTGACCCAGGATTGTGCGCTGGTTTGTGCCGGGCTGTGGTTCATGACGAGACATCGACTGACCCGGGTCAGCGGTGACCCAGACAGGCGAATTGGCGCGTCACCGACACGATGGGTCACTCAGGACGAATTATTTTTCTTACCCTTGGGACCCCACCGCAGACGCGTGGCGCCATGGGGCACGGCGAATGGACGCGGGCCCAGTTATCCGCCGGCATTTTTGGTTTTTTGGGGAAAGCACCAGTTTTTGAATCCAAAATATAGGTTGTTTTTTTTGTTGTTATAAAAAACACCCGATTCCACCTCATTGTCGTGAGCCTCCTCGTCCTGTGTTCTTCCCGTGGGAGGTTTCCCGAGGTCCCCGCGGGGTCCGCGGCCTCCGCTTGGGGACCCGCGGAATACCGCAGACGTCCCAAACGTGGTGTCCTCTTCGTCTAGGGGGAGCGATGCCGCGCGCTGAGTTTATGTGGACCTCCATAGGCTCACGGCATTTCCCCAAGCCGTCCCACAAGTTTTTGCCTTCTTCGTCGACGATGATCGATGCCGTGCGTGGGCCTTATGTGGACCTCATGAGTTCCAGGGCACCTCGACATTGTGACCCAGACCTGTGGCGATGCGAGATTTGGCAGATGTTGTTTATTGCTTTTCTGTGTTCATTTTGCGTTGCGGTGTTTGCGGGGCGTTTCTGCGCCCGGACGCCGTCAAAACGAATCAGGGTAAAAGAACGGGCCCGCGGCAGTGGTCGGATCAAGATCACGACATTCTTCATGTTAAAGCACGTCGTCGGGGGGTTCGCCTGGAGTTACCAGAACGTCAGCCGTTATGTGCTTTTGGGGATTCTCGTAGGCTATTAATGACGCGTGTGAAGGTTTTTGGGTAGACGCGTGAGGCATCCCGGGGTATCCGAAGGACCTTGATCGGCCTCGTCGCGCAAAATAAAATAACACGACGGCCATGAATGCCCCAGAACCCTCGTGATTCGATCGGTCGATCTGGCTTGAGGCATCTATCACGTTTGACGATCAGGTCGAAGATCGTGGTTGTTGTTTTAGCTTATATTCACAAAGTCTGATGGTAGGTAAGGTGCAACACCACATCTCAAACGTCCTGCGGGAATCAAGGCTGCCAGTGTCCGCTGCTTAGTTCGTAGCGTTCCCGCGCACACTGGTTGGCTGAAAGCGTCTGGCCGTCAGGATGCTAGAACGCGGCAGTTGAGTCCTGCCTCGGAGCGCTACGAAGGCTGATTACAGGCGGCCCAAACGCCTGGATGTGAAAGAACGAGAGAGAGAGAGAGCGAGAGAGAGAGGGAGAGAGATATATATGTAATCAGGGGGGCGGAAGGTTTGGCCAACCGCACGCCGGCGAATGTGGAGTGCTCAAGACAGCGGAAGTCCCAAGCGCATATTGGAACATGTGCCAGACATTCGTTCAATGGGTATACGAACGTTGCAGACGCCACGGCTAATGGTTCACCCTATTGATGCGATGCATAAAAATAAGAAGAGCAACACAATTCAACGAACATATTTTGCTGTTATGTTTTCCCGGCCAGAGGCTCGGTTCGGGCCCCCAGGGCCCATGACAGGCAATCCTCATCGATGTCCATCTGCGTATTTCCGGGTCGAGACACTAGGAACCCCACACGTGTTCAATACAAGTTCGATCTCGTTTACTCGAACTGCGCGTTCGCACACTGGTACGTTAGCTACGGCATGGATGAAGGCGAGTTCTCTGAGGCCTGCGAAAATTGGGCCGCGATGAAGAACTGATACGAGGAGATTGGCAGCGAAACAGTCGAGGCGCAGGGCGAGGATGGAGGCCATGGCGACGAGTTATGAGGATATTCCGAATTCGCCTGGGCCTGGATGCGTATAGTATTCTTCACGCTTCGCGTATACCCACCAGTCCTGGTAGAAGATTGGGACAGTTGTACCTTCCGCATAGCGTCACATCATGTTACCTGATGGCTCGCTTGCGAACGCATCCCTGTTCGAGGTTGTCTTCCCGGGCCTGACGTGCCTTGTTCGGTTACAGACACCACGAATTTCGCGCCATCTTGGCTGCGTTGGTGCGTACTCTGAAGCTGCGACGGTTGGCTGGCGCTGTCAGAGTCCAACCTCTCCCTACGGTATGCAGTCAGGCGACAGCTTGTGCGTCTTTCGGACGCTTCTGCTTGAGCATGGTTCAGACACCCTGGGACCCTATGGTACGCCATTCGCTGCGCCGAGGTTTGCAGACTCATTACTGTTCAGATAGTGTACCCAAGCGGCGTACTGCTTGGCCATGGCCTCAGACACTTTGGGGTTATTTGCATCGCGCCATTTTGGCAGCGTAGTTACAGACTCCCTGGGTGCAGGTCCCTGGGCGTCAGACACCCTGGGTTGCAGCACCCTTGCACCCGCCGCCCCGGCGCCGGCCGCGGCCCGCACGCGCGTCCGGCCAATTAGTTTCGGCCGCAGCCCGACCGTTACTCGCCGCCGCTGGCGCTTCCGCCCGCGGCTGTAAACATAAAAGAAAGTATACCCACAGTATCTTCACGTTCCACGCTTCGCCGTGGAGAGTTTTGTCGAGAGTGACGCTACTGAAATGTGGGCGCCATCGAACCCACCGCCAGTTGGGCCCCGTTGGTTGTCTTCGCCTGTTCCGTCTGAGCGGCGGTTGAGCCTGCTCCGCGGCTTAGTTTGCATGTTTCCGCCGCTTGTTAGCTGCTTGCGTTCGGTCCCGTTTGAGGCCGTAGTACTTTAGGTATTTGCTACCTGGCATTCCCTTGACGGCGCGCGGTTCTTCCGGTTGCGCCCGCGAACAAAAAGTATCCCCACCAGCCCAGTCAGCAGCCCTGCCCATGAGAGCTGACGGGAAAAGGGACGAAACGACACATCTACGGAAACAAAGCGAGCAACCAGGGTGAACCGAAAGATTTCTTGGAGCAAGGGGGTGGCCTTGGACGGCCTGTTCGGGCCATCCCTGGGGGCCGCGTGGGGGCGAGGGGAAGAGAAAGAGGAGGAGGAGGAAAAGGAGGCGTCTTGGGATCATCTTGTACTCCATCGATTACAGGATGGGGGGGTCCCCAACTCAGCTCACCCCGTCGGGAGCCCGCAAACCGCTTCTTGGGGCTCTGTTATAGCGGTTTTGGGGCCATTTGGAGCATGTTGGGAGCCATCTTGGGCTATCTGAGCCATCTCGGAGGTCATCCTGGGTTCGGTGAGGCCGCTCGGGTGCCTCTGGGGGCCGTCTTGGGACCCTTTTGGGGCCCACGAGGGGCTGTCTTGGGGCTCTCTTGGGAGCCCTGGAGCGCCTCGTGGGGCCATCTTCGAGGCAATCGATCAAAGGAGGGGGCTTCCGATCTAGGTCCCCACCCTGGGGCATTGAAGACCGCCTCTTGGGATGCTCTTTGAGCCCTCTTGGGGCGCTCTTGGAGTCCTCCTGGGGCGCTCTCAGGGGCATTTTGGGGCCTTATTGAACCATCTTGGGGCCATTTGAGGCGCACATCGGAAACGTAACGGCGAGAAGGCAAACAACATCAGTTTTCCTTAGGTTTAAAAGGGCTTGGGCTCTTGGAGGGGTCCAGACGGATCTCCGAGAGCACCAGAAACCGTCTTGTGGACATATTGGGGATCGGAACTGTTTTGGACCAGCTTCGGCTATCTTGAGGCATCACGGAGGCCATCTTGGAGCATCGGAGGCCCTCTTAGAGCCATCTTGAGCAAAAAAAAAAAAGGCCCTCGACACACCCGCGACACCTGCCCGAAAAGTTCAGGGGAGGGGGCAGGGGGAGGGGTACCCCCCTCCCCGAATGGGGAAGAGGGGTTTTTGAAATAGGAAAGCATTAATACCGTTAGACCACCTACGCCCAGAGGGATGGTGGGATTAGAAATCAACATGTTGCTGTCGAAGTTTGGAACACACATCGTTGGCTGATAACCGCCCATGGCGTCTCAAGTTCCCGTGGTTTCTCGGATGCACGACAGGCCATCCAGAAGCGAACGCCAGGCGAGTTGCCCAAATCAGGAAGTGTACGAGCGTGCAGCGGAACACAGAAGTGAGCCAGCCGTCAAGCCGAGTTCCGGAATCAAGCTGAGCATACATATACATCTAATTAGTGAAGTTGCAATCCAAGGGGGGGAAACGGAGGAGGGGCAGGATGGAAAATAATGAGGAAGGCGGGCAGGATGATTATGGGGACGGAAGGGGGCGACGATGCCGACGTGAAGAGGATGCGGATGTCGGCGACAGGAGTCAACGACAGTGATGACGGCGGCAGGAGTCAACGAATAGGCTTTCGTGAGCCGCGCGCGTTAAGAGCTTCTCGGAAGCCTCTAAGAGCCTTCGTGCTGCCATCTGTAGTGAGCATTTTGGGAGCTTTTGGAGCGCTCTTGGGGGCCCTGTGGACCCTTCGAATCGCTTTGGCAGAGACCGAAAGCTCGCCTCCTGGGGTTTCTCTTCGGGCTCTCCTGGGCTCTGTTGGGCCGTCTCGGACGGTCCCTCTTCGGACTAACTTGTGGCCATCTTAAGGCCTCAGGTGCACATCGATAGCAAGAAGGCGTGAAGGGACTAGTTTCGGGAAAGCCGCATTGTTGTTGATCGTGCGTTGTGGCCTCCCGTGGCCTCCCGAGGCCTCCCTTGGCAGTCTCCGTGGCCACTTGGATCCGTCTCGGAGTGGTCTTTTGGGCCTTTTGGAGTCCTATCGGAGCTCATTTTGAATAGTGCGCCAGCCTGGGCTATCTTCAGCCCTCGTGGAGGCCATGTTGGGCTGTCCGAGGCCCCCTCGGAGCCGCCGTGGGCCACCTTGGACGCTCCAACCTCGGGGGAGGGGCAAGTTTTGGAGAGGGACACGTCGCTCTCCGACGGGGCGGCAGGAGCACCGAAATTTTTCCAGATCCACCACAGCGCGCCGAGGGCGGGGGGAGACGGAGGCCCCGCCCCGCCCTGCCGCCTGCCCTTTGAGGGCCCCGGAAACGGCAGGGCCGTTTTTTCACCGTTTCCAAAAAAATGCCCTTTGAAAATGGAAACGGCAACAAGAACGGCTCCAGGATTAGAACCGGAGCCGGAACCGTTCAAAAAACGGCGACGGAACCGGTAAAAAAACGGACGGACCTGTCGTTTCTAGGGCCCACTAAGGGCAGGAGCAAGGACATTTTTCCAGATCCACCACAGCGCGCCGAGGGCGGGGGACACAGAGGCCCCGCCCCGCCCTGCCGCCTGCCCCGCGGGACCCTGCCCGGGCCCGCCCGCCCGGCGAGGCATGTACGGCGCCCCGCCGCAGGGCTACCCGGCGCAGCCGCCGGGGATGCCCGACGGCTACCCGCCGCAGCAGCCGGGGAGGCCCGAGGGGTACCCGCCGCAGCCGCCGCCAGGCTTTGGACGCCCGAAATGAGTACGGAAAAAATGGGCACAATGCCCAACAACAAATGTTGTCCCAAACCAACAGCGGCCGCCGTTGGGCAGGCGGCCTTCTGTCTCGAATGGACACAGGCCGCGGCCGCGTGGACAGCGAGTCCTGTTCAAAATGTGCAGGAGCTGCTGTTGGGCATCGTACCCATTCTTTCCGTGCCCATCTCGTTCGTGCAGACAGGCGCGGCCGAGGCGTACCCGGCGCCGGCGCGGCCAGCGCCTGGGACGCCCAGGGGGGTCGGGTGAGCCCGGGCGGGGCCAGGACGGCGAGAAGTCTCGGCGGCGAGCGAGGGGGGGGGGAGGGAGAAGGAAAAGGCCTTGTCAGAAGGCTCGGACCCCCCCCCGGCCTTCTGAGGAGTTTTCTGAGCCCCCCCCCACAAGGCACAAACGCCTCTCAGAAGGCGCGAGGGCTTCGGAGAAGTCCCACCGCCTTCTGAGAAGACCTTGTCCTTCTCACTTCCCCCCCCTCGCTCGCCGCCGAAAATCCGTTCAAGACCGTTCCAGAACACTCAGAGCGTTCCAGAACGCTCTGGAACGCTCTGAGAAGGCTGCGGCGCCCGGGACATCTTCCAGAGCCGCCGGATTTGAGAGATTTGCGATTCCCACACGAATGTATCCTCGTCCTGGCTTCGTCTTCTGAGTGCGCGGGTGGGCGGGCTCAAAAGCCCACGGGAAGAATTGGAGGGGGCGAATTGGGCCGTCCAGGGAGTGGATGGACGAGTGAGTCGTTTGTCGGGTGGACGGCAGCGCGGTGGTGCAAGAAATCACAGTTGGGATTGCGGACGGGCCGGCCGTCCATTTTCAGCTCGTCTCTCAACTTTCTTTGCCGGAATCAGCTCCTGCCATCTAGACTTCCTCCATTTCTCGATTTCCTCCTGGACCTTCTCGACTTCCTCCACTTCTCATGCGTAGTACTCCTTCTCCCTTCATGTTTTCTTAGTGTCATACACTCCTGTACTGCTGCTTCTCCCAGACACGGTGAATTCTTCACGCTTCGCGTATCCCCACCAGCCCATCTCACAGCAGCAACTCTCGCGAAGCATGCCGACAGTCGTGTTTTTCAGGCGTGTGTCCGCTTGGCCCCGCATATCTCCCCTGTTCCTCCTTCCTCCCGCCTCCTTGTACATCCTCCTTGTGAGGGGAGCGGGAGAAGGACGAGGCGGAGGAGGAGGGAGAGAAAGCGCTCCTCGTGATTTGAGTCGTTTGGGGTTTCTCGTCCTGGTGTGAGTCGTTCGGGCCCTTCTTCCTGGTGTGAGTCGTTCGGGCTCTTCGTGGTGTGAGTCGTTCGGGCTCTTCGTCCTGGTGTGAGTCGTTCGGGCTTCTCGTGGTGTGAGTTGTTCGGGCCCCTCATCCTGGTGTGAGTCGTTCGGGCCCCTCCTCCTGGTGTGACTCGTTCGGGCTCCTCGTGGTGTGAGTCGTTCGGGGCCCGCGTCGTGGTGTGAGTCGTTCGGGCTCCTCGTGGTGTGAGTCGTTCGGGCGCCTCGTCCTGGTGTGAGTCGTTCGGGCCCCTCCTTGTGGTGTGAGTCGTTCGGGCTCTTCGTGGTGTGAGTCGTTCGGGCCCCTCGTCCTGATGTGAGTCGTTCGGGCTCCTCGTGGGGCCTCTTGGGGGCCTCTTGGAGCCTCTGGGGGCCTCTTGGGAGCCTCTTGGGGGCCTCTTGGGAGCCTCTCGGGGGCCTCGTGGAGCCTCTGGGGGCCTCTCGGGGGCCACTTGGGGGCCTCTTGGGGGCCTCTTGGGGCCTCTTGGGGGACTCTGGGGAGCCTCTTGGAGGCCTCTTGGGAGCCTCCTGGGGGCCTCTTGGGGCCATCTTGGGGGCCTCTTGCGACCTCCTCTGAAGCGCAAAGGAGCGCTGCCCCCTGAAAAGGACAAAATGAGGCCAAAACCTTCGTAAAATCAACGATCTTGCTATGGAGGAAGAGAAGCGCGGCCCCCTCAGGAGGCCAAAATGGGGCCAAAACCGTAGTAAAATCAATGATTTTGGCTTCAAAGAAGAGCAGAGGGGCCAAACTCTGCCCCCCCCTGGGGCCAGAATCCTCGTGAGGGTCGTCGTTTTTTGGCCCTCCCAGGAGTGGAAAAAGACCCCCCTGAGAACACCCGGGGCTCCCTGTCCAGGCCCAGGGGGAGGGGGGAGGGGGAGGGGTAAACCCCTCCCCGAAGGGGAAGAAGGGGGGTTGGGGGGTTGAGAGCAGAGAGAGCTCTCTAAACCACTCACGCCCAAAGGGCTGGTGGGACTTGCCTCGGCGCTGGGTTTAAAAAAAGGGAGGGAAAGGAGGAGGGGAGGAGGAGGACGAGGAGGAGGAGGAGCAGGAGGAGGAGGAGGCGGAGGGGGAGGTGAGAGAGAGATGAAAGAGGGAAGAGGAGGGCGGGATTAATCTTTCGGAGGATGACGGAGGAGGAAGGGGCGGAAATATGAGGACATGTGAGGAGGAGGAGGAGGAGGAGGAGGAGGAGGAGGAGGAGGAGGAGGAGGAGGAGGAGGACGATGACGAGGTTAGGAGGAGAGGGAGGACGACGAGGAGCAAGAAGAGTGCCCCCAAACATGTTGCCAAATTGATTGGGCCGTGGCACGGGCGCGCGCGGGGCAGAGACGGGGAAGCGGCCGCTTCGGCGCCATAGGGATGGCGCGGCGGTCGACGGACACACCTAAGATTAAGTCGGGACTGTCCCTCTACAGGGGGAGTATCAAAAAATAGTCAAAAAATAGTCTGGGGTCTATTTTTTGAGTATTTGTTGACCATTGTGGAGCATTTTTTGAGTATTTGTATTTTTCGTCGAAAATCCCCCTGTAGGGGACACGCCCGACTTAAACCTAAGATGGGAAGGAAGAAGGGTGGCAAAGGAGCAATTTCAAGGCTGCCCCCCGCAGACAATGCGGCTCCACTCGTGCGACCTTGTCCCACTCCGAGGCGCCTCCGTGTCAACGCGGTGGCGGGCCGCGGGTCGAGGCGACCGATTTGCTCAGAACGCCGAGCGGAAAAGGCGTCCCAACAGTCTTGGACCCCCCCCTCCGAACTCAGAAGGCAAAAACCCACCCCCACCACCAGTCCCGACGCCCATCCCCGAGCCGGCGGTTCAAGGGGTCGGGACTGGGGGTGGGGGTGGGTTTTCTCCATTCCTGGACCCCGAAAACCCACTCCCAACCCCAGTCCCGACTCCTTTGAATCGCAGGTTCGGGGATGGGGTCGGGACTTGGGGTGGGGGTGGGTTTTCGCTTTCTCACCGGACGCCGTTCCAAGCACCCTTTCGACGGCGCACCTTCTGGATGGCCCAGTTCGCCCCGCCTAAGAGGAACCGAAAAAGAACACATTGCATAAGCGAGCTCGCGACGGTCCGCGCAGATTTCTTGGATCTGCGTTGGAGCCCTCGGCGGCGCCTCTGGCGCCGCCCTTGGCGCGCTCGGCGCGCGAGGGAGGGGGGTTCAGCCCCGCTCCAAGAACCTCGCGCGGACCGTCGAAAGTTTTTGTTTGTGCGAATTTTCGCCCGAGGAACCTACAGGGCTCCGGGGCGGGGCGCGCGCCCCCCTGGCCTTGGGCAGGGGCGCGCGCGCCCCTTCCTGGGGCCCTCTGGCCCGGGCCTTGACTAGGCACTGTGCGGGCGCCTTTTCGCAGGGTGGGCTCGATGGATTGCCGGGGGAACGGTGTGGAGGGGGCGGGCGTGCGAAGGCCAGGGGAAGCGCGTCAAATAGCGCGAAGTTGCCCGATCCCTCAAGGAAACTTTCGGGGTCGGAGCGCCAGCCGGGGTTCAGCGCCGGCGAAGCCCGCGGCGTTGTCTCCCTCTCTCATGACGCGCCCCGCGTCTTAAGCGGGACTTGTCCCGTCGACGTGCCTACGCCCCGCTCGTCGACTACAATCATCGTGAACAAACAGACCCTGAACCCGAATAGCGCGATGAAGACATAGCCTCACTGAGGCCCCCGTCTTCGCGGTGGGGATCATGATTTTGGGCGGTCTGGTTCGGTCCAACTGCGGAAAACGCCCCCTATCCCCGATGTTTCTGTCCTTCCTGATTTAGGTCCCCTCCGAAAGGGTTAGAGGTCCTTCTCATTGCCAATCGCGCTACTGGCGCAGTTTGCGCAGGGCGTGGCATGCGATCGGCGCCGCCGGGGCTCAGGGAGTCACCGCGCTACGCCTCGGCGATCCCTCGTCGGCGCGCGGCGGGGGGGTCGATCTAGGCCCTCGCAAACCGCGCCGCCTGCAGACCGCGCCACCCGGAGTCGGCGGCCCAAAGACAAGGGGGCTCTTCGACGACTCGATTGAACAAGTTCCTCCAGCCTGGAACCAAAAGTGCCCGTGGCTAAAATGGCTGGAGCCGCGGGCTCCCCCCCCCCTTCGTCTCCGACGTGCGGGGGAGGAGAGCGGCGGAGCGGGCGGGAAAACGGAGGGGCGTCCAGGCCGATTCTCGCGAGGTGTTGGTCCAGGGTTCCCGCCGGGCACGGGACCTCACCCGGCCCCTGGGAGTATGTACCCTTCCCAGGGCAGCGGGTCTTAGTTGGGGGGCACTGGGTAGCTACGCTGTGACAGAATCACGACGTCGAATGACCAGGGAGCTCGGCAAACGAGAGGCGCGGCAGATGGCAGGACGAGCGATCGCAATGGGCTTGCAATGCGAACGCGAAGTAGTGCCGCTGCTCGCGAAGACTCCCATCACAGGGAGGGGCCGACTTCAAGCGTCGACAGCTTGCGTCGCTTCTCTTGCCGCCTTGAGGCCTTTAGATGCCCCTGGTGGCCCGGCAACCACGCGCCCGCATATGCACTTCCGATTCGAGGCTCGGCGGACAGGAGCACGCAACAGCGAATCTCGTGACGATTCGCCTCGCGCGCTGCACGACTTGGCAGCGGCGGGATACATTTGCGAGTGTGAACAAGAGTGGCTAACCAGCATGAGCCCCAGACACTGCGATCTAGTAATCTATGCGGCGCGATGGCGATAGCCACGAGTTGTTACTTACGCGGCGCAATGTATCTGCGCCGTGAAATCCGGGCGCCGCAAGTCATTGTTAAGCATTTCAAGTTGTCTGATCCACTGCCGGCGCAATCGCCCCGCCCGCCCGCCCGCGAGTGGATTTGAAAAACAGATTCGGCGGCCATTGCGATGACTGCTTGGCGTTGGCATGCGCATCGCGTCAGCAGCGCGATCGCGCGCGTGCTCGCGGACAGGGCGGCCAGCTAGTTCGGCGCAGCCGCCGCGGCCGCGGCGGCGCTTGCCGCCGGGGTCCCCCCCTCGCCT